TGTGTTTGTATAGGATTAGGATTGCACACAACTATTCACCATAACTTTTTCTTCCTCAGAAAGCCTAAAGTAGCTAATTGTGTTCACTGTGACTTCCAGGCCTAAAGTCTTCAGATGGACTTTATGAAGAAGCTACAGGCATTGTATCAGCATGGGTTTTTTTAAGAGGTTACTCTGCTTGAAACAGCTGCTGCTATTTGTGTTCTTAGATTACAGGGCAAGATCTTTTTCTTTCCCAGTTTTACTTGTAAGATACTTCCTGGGGCTAGGAAGGATAACTAAGAAAAAGCAAGCCTGTCATGTGTGATTAAATTGTGAATGTATGCAGGGTTCTGCACCTTTATGGAAAAAAGGGTGACTCTTAAAATTGGAAGAAGATTGAAAATTAGTGCTAGTGTGTCTTCAGTGATGCTACCAGCGTGTAACGCATAACAATACTGGACCATTAGAAGAATACATTAAACTTGGTTGCATTTTTACAAGCACAAAAATGGGAGTGATTAAGAACTGGAACAGGTTCCCCAGAGGTGATTTGCAGCCTTTAAACTTAACTGGACAGGACCTTTTAATTACACTTGCTGTGAGCAGGAGGTTGTACTGGAAGACTTACAGAGGTCATATCCAACCAAGGTCATTTTATGTGTCCTTGATCTTTGCACCACAAAGAGTCAGCTGTACATGAACACTACAAAAACCATCCTGGTGGGTTTTGAAACGCTTTCTGTTCTGGTGTATGCTGAGGTGGCTGAACATCCTTTTACAGCCTTAATCTTGCTGCTGCTCTTTGTTGTGACATCTGGCTCTCTATATTTTAATGTCTGTAGTTTCCTATAATTTCTCAGCTTTCCACAATCCATGTCAGCCATAAGCAATCGAGTGTGGTGGTTCTTTCTTGTAATAAGATGTGCCACTGTCTGTGTTAGCTTGCTTTACTGTTTCTGAGAAACACCAAGTTACAGGAAGTGCTTAACCTGACAGAACAGTCCCGCAAATGGTCACACCAGAAGCTGCACAGAGCACACAGTTATCTGTTGCACAGTTGGAAACTACCAGTGGCTACTGAGATCACATCCTGAAAAGGTGCAGTGCCTAGTCGTGGCTACCTTTTGATAGCAGAAGTTGGTTCACAAGCTTTTTGTCATTACCACATATCTTGGTCACATGTATTGCAGGATAAGACCAGCTCCGCTGCTGAGGCAGCCAGCGGGCAGCTGACAGCACCAGATGTACTGCTTCATAGCTCATCAGCTTGAGGGGTTTGACAAGTCCCTGGAGTCAATGATGTGTCCTACACTCAAAGGCTGACAGTGGAAAAAGTGAAGGGAACAGACAGGGAGTTGGTTCTCATCTCCATGGCCCACCCGTTTGTGGTGGATTACCTTATTTCTTTCCCCGTGCACCTTTTCCAAGTATATAGCTATATTAAAAAGGACAAAGTCCTTATCCAAAGCTATTAAGCAAAGCAGTAGTGCCAACTCCAAAATCCTCCTGAAGATACAGTAATAACCAGACAATAAGTAAAAAATCACAGTGTATCTTGGAAAAAAATGTGCTAATTACATTGAGTGTTTCATGGCAGTCCTGTAAAATTTTATTTGCAAAATCAGCAGCATGACCTCTTGTGACGAAATATTTACATGTAGTTTTAAGGAACCATTACTTTTAAATGCAATGTTCTCTTCAAGAATGCTGTGAGAAAAAGTTTTTAATTGGCTTCAAAGCAGACAAAGTGAATGTTCATTTTGAAAATAAAGTAGAACACTCAAATCATGACATTTACAGAAATGTTTTCAGGTGCTACAATTCTGCAGGTGAACTTGACTTTTTAAAAAAATAGAATTTATGTGGTTAGGATTCATAATGACCAGCAGTAGGAGTTTATGGTTAATACATTTTCTCAAATTTTAATTTTTGCTGATTCAAAGGCTATGGACAATTAAATATCGTCACCACCTGTCTTCCAGAGGCTGAACAGCATAAAGTATGGCACTGCTGCTCTGCGTGGTGAAAGCAGACAGTGGCTGCAGGAGAAGTTGGATTTTATTGTCCTTCTCCTTGCAAAAACACGCCTTGTATTTTTTTCCTGTATCGTCCTTGATAAGAAGAAGAACACAGTGGTCTAATAATGGAATTTGTAATTACATGTTCTAACATGTGAAAGCCTCACTGCAATCTGTCGGCCCTAGGAATTGGCACAATGCTGATGAACAAGTTAAAATATAATTGAACTCTAAGCTTGGTAGGCCTCAAAACAACACCTACTTTAGATTCAGTGGAACTGCTCTCTGGCTCATGAATTAAGCTCTACTCGTAGGCTGTCCAGGCGTACATTAAATCTGTTATGGTTATGCAGAATGAGGACACGCTTCTTGTGCAATATTCTTGTGTCTGCCCACGAGGTGGGTGCTGGTTGGAGGTCTGATGTGCAGTCGTCACAGAGTTGCGACAGTTACTGGTTTACCCAGGTAATCCAGTTGCTGCTTGTACTGCTAGGGACAATAGGAAGCAACACGCAGGGAGCCCTTTCTTGACACAGCTTACTGCCTTCTGTGCCTTGAATTTCAGTTGCATAATTCCTGCCAAGACCGCCCATTTCTGTGGGTAGCCCTGCTGGGGGGAGGTTAGTGGAGCTGGACTGGGTTTGGAGGCTTGAGAAGGCTTTTAGGTGGGCAGTGGGATAGTTGCTGTGGTTGAATGTGATGCCCAAGTTACAGCTGTAGAATAGCCCAGCTGTGTTCCTTTTTGTTATCTTGTGTCTACAAGATTATCAGTTTAACAATGAGATGATACTGGAGAAATGAGAGAAAAGGCCATTAGCAGAAGCTGTGAATGAAATCTGTCCAGTTGTGTCCAAAATTAAGTCTTTGCCTGTTGTAATGTCAGTGAGAAAAGAATGGCATTTCTTACACCTGTGACTTACTGTCAGCTGCTAACCGTTTTGTTGTGCTAGCATGGCTAATTTGAGGTTCCCTTTTTACTCATCTACCAAGTCCAGTTATGATTAAATTACTCATATTACTCTGCAGGTTATAGGGAGAGAAGCTTCACTCAGTGTTGTAGGGCATTTGAGGAGGTGACTGCAAAGCTTACTTTTCATCCATCAGTCATGTTCTAACTTTCTCTCTAGGTTACTGGAAAAATTGGTAGTCAGTCTGACACCTCCTGAAGAGGTGGTTGCAAGGAGGAACAGAATTTGTCTTAACTTGTGAAAGTTATGTCACAGTTCTTGGGCAAAGTTCATAAAGCTTCACCAGGGAGTAGCTGCCAGTCTGGCTATATTAGTCCAGCTCCTAAGAAAATAGGATTTTTTTTTAAATTAAAAAAAAAAAAGTGAAACAGGTTATTCTTTTGGTTATTTTAAATCCATTGAAAGTGTGACATGGGTGATACTGGTATTTAGTAGATAATCTTAAAATGTAACACAAGATGCCTGCATCCTAGGTGTCAACTCCTTTGGCAAGTAGTCTGTGTTAATGAAGGCAAATACTTGTAGAATGGGAGGGGAAAATCTAGTACAGAGCCCATTACTCAGTGTAGATAGGATCCCTGCAGAAGAGATTTGGTACTAAAGGCAGATCTGTGAAAACATGTGCTTAATGTTCCATAGTGAAAAAGGAACTAAAACTTTGACTTACAGGGAAAGAAATAGAGAACAAAGCAGAAAACAATGTTATGGCCCTATGTTCAAAAGGCTAACAAAGAGGATTTGTACAGCATAAGTCTCATCCCTAATCAAGGAAAGATGTATTAGGACTAGGTAAGATCCATGTGAGTGACAAAGCTAATTAAAGTGTAGAATGATTTTTCTTTTCTTGATATCAGAATGACTTAAAACTAGTATCACTTCCTAAAAAGTAGAGAACATACAGGGCAGAGAAGTGTGACAAGTATCTGTGTTTATATTTTACAACATTTACAGCACAGAGAAGCAACTATGAAACAATTAACACTGTCTCCTATTGTCATAACAAGGCGGGAACTTCATCTGAAACTAGCAGATGGCAAGCTTTTTATTTAAAAGTAGCTAACTGCCAGTGCTTGAGTGAGCTCTGAAATGCAGTCCTGCCCAGTGTTGTGATAGCCAGTTCACCTGGGCTGAAGAATGATTAGATAAATTCACAAAGGCAGAACCTGGCATGTGCTGTAGAACACGTATGCTGGCTCAGGGGAGCTTTGAGGTCTGACGTGCCACTTGCTGAGGGGGTGCTCCTGCCGAGCTGCTCTTCCGTCCTTACCTAGGCATCGGTGCTCTCCGAGAGGAGGTCCTGGGCTGCATAGCCTGTGGTCTGTCCCCCTATAGAGCTCCCATTTCCACTCCCTCAGAGGACTCGTAGGGTAGGCTGCATTCTAGAAGATGTGCTGAGGAACATTCCTAGTGACTGAAGCAGTCTGGTGTGGAATATCTTCATCTCTTATTAAAATCTCTCTGTTTGAAAACAGGGCAATTTCAAATTGCCAACTGGGAACAAGCCTAGTTCACGTGAATTCTCAAACCATGCCTAGGAATCTTAGGAGTTTGCTAGTTGGCACAGGCTAAAATCATGCCAGAGACCATTTGAACAATTAAGCAATGAAGACAGTTGTGTTGCAGTACCCAGGAGTATTTCCAGGCACTGTGTACTGTACAGTTCTAGCCAGCGTGTTGCATTTCTGTCCAGTTTGAAGTACTGAGCAGTAAGAAGTTTAGTTACACAGTAGGGCTTCTCTGTGTGACCTCCATGACTGGTCTGGCTGTTAAGGCAAAGTCTCTGCTGATTTTTATAACCAAGAACAGAAAGTTCAGTTGGATTTTTAAGCTGACTAAATCTTGCCTAGAAGTGTAAATCTAAAGCATAGAGGTGATTTGGGGTCATTTGAATTTCACTGTGTTACCACCTGGGAAATCATCCAAGCTGCTGCCTAGGACAAGGAACAAAATTAAGAGATGCTTTAATAGGAGATGCAATATAGATACAATGATTTTTACTTTAAAAGTAATAGCTACGTTTTCTTTTTAGACGATGTCTTCAGCAGTTGTTCAAATATATGCAGCAGATCGCAATGCTGTGTGGTCAAAGAAGTGCTGTGGTGTAGCTTGCCTTGTGAAGGACAATCCCCAGAGGTCATATTTTATCAGAATATTTGACATTAAGGTAAGCATTTTTTTTTTTTTTCCAAACTCTCTAAGCTTGGTTGTATTTGTTCTCTATTTTGAATTGAATGAGTGTAGATTGTAGCTGCAAACTCTTAGAAATTCTCAAGTAAAGGGTTGTGCTTTGAGTGGTGCCATTACAGTGCTTGTTAATAGGCAAGTGCAACTTTCTCATATTCTGGATTTAAATTATTTCATACATAGTAGCTTTTATGGCTGAAATAAATATCAGATACAATTTTCTTACAGCACACAGAAGCTGTTCTCTGCAGTTCTGATTACTCAAACTAGTGAAAGTTAGCATAGTGTCACTGACATGGATAACTATAGAAAGTTCTGGTGGATGTCACTGTTCTGGATGGTATTACCAAAATAGATCATAGAATCATAGATGCTGTCTTCTGTATGGGTGAAAACAATATTTTTGATTAGTATGAGTGCATGTGAAAACTGCAGGACAAACATGTTTGGTTTTTTTTTTCCCCTTCCACAATAGATAGATTCATACCGAAGATGTTTGTCATATTACAATATTTCACTCAAGGGAGTTGGAACTAAGAGATGAAGTGTCCAAGATGTGTTTTCATAACAGAAATGATACTGAGAAGTGCAAGTCCTGCTGACTTTGCTGAGACTTTGAAAGCTTCCCATTATCTCTACAGCCAGGAACAGCTCATTATCTGTCAGCATTCAGGGTTTGGGAAGTCTCTAAGATTTATTCAGGATTGTCAGTTGGTGCTTACATTTGATTTTATGGTTTGGTCACTTGACTGTTAGACTTGGTAAGAAACCTGTTCCTTGGACACTGAAATAGAGTGCTGTTTGAATATATGAAATTTCTTTAAAAGGTGAGATTTTTGTTGCCATTAAGTTTCAAGACAAGCCTGAGTTAAAGTCTTCTGAATTGCTGTTATCGCTGAATTCTTATCCCTGGTAACCATTACTGCTCCAAGTATCACTATTGGAGGATTGTAGAACTAGATGATTTTTTGAAAACATGCAGGAATCTGAACAAAAGACAGTGACCTGATGGAATGGTGTTCCACAGCTCTTTCACAGGTTCCAGTGTATTTTGATTGAGCTCAGTTGTTGGGTTAATAGCAAGGTAGATGCTTAACATCATGCAGCTTCCAAGGCTTAGGTTTTCTTGTCAAAGAAGTTAAACTCTGCAAATCCTCTGAGTTTTCCAAATGATTTTTTTTTTTCTTTTCAGGATGGGAAATTATTGTGGGAGCAGGAGCTGTACAATAACTTTGTATATAATAGTCCTAGAGGATATTTTCATACCTTTGCTGGAGATGTGAGTCTCAACGTTTTTTGAATACCTGTTATTATAATGCTTTTTATTTGAAATAGTAGCTGCTTTTAATAGAGCTGAAGTTTTTATTTCATTCTGTAAAGTATTTATAGAAGTGCAATATTACCTGTGTTCCTTGAAGCTTTTAAAGCTTACTTAAAAAGGATTTTTCGTATTTCAACTAGAAAAGTTAATCCATGGGGCAGATCCATAAAATACAGTTCTTTATTTTCAACTCCTTTTAATGAAATTAGATTTTGACTTGCAGAAGATGTTTGTGAAGTATCATGTATTCCTAAAGCACAAATTTTCCTCTCGCCCTTTTGATTTCAAGCTGCAAGATTTTGCTTGTTTGTTAGCCATAATCTGTAGAAACTTGGCTATAGACAGGTGTTCCTATGATGGAATGCTTCACTAAGGCTTGGTTACAAATTTGCAGTGATGATTTTTTTTTTATTATACCTTCAGAAGGTATAAAAAGACATTTAAGAAAGCTTTTGAAACATTTCCTTAGTCATGGGTGGGGGAATATTAATGTTTTTCAGACATGTCAAGTTGGTCTTAATTTTGCTAATGAAGAAGAAGCTAAACTATTCCGCAAAACAGTAACAGATTTACTTGGACGACGGCAGAGAAAATCTGGTAAATATTCAAATTAATCTTAAATTCAGGCTTGTTTATGTTGTTTTGGGGGGAGGCAGGAAGTTACTTCTGTGTCTGAAAACTAGCAGAGAGGCACTACTGCCATATTTATATTTAGAGGTAATTGTGCTATTGAAGTGTGCTTTTTTTTCTCTGTTGTTCAAAATTATTATTTTTCTTAAGTAACTTAATTGGTGCTCCTCGATGTAAGTTTCCTTTTAAGCTGAGACTCCAAGGTTGTTGTGTTTGAAAATATAAATCAGGAGGAAGCAAATATGGTAAGCTGTTAGGGGGAAAACAAGAAATCTTTCTTTAAGCTATTTTCACATTCAACTAAACCCTCTTTTAGCTCTGGGCTGTTTGTAAGTAATTTGTTTAAATTCAGCCCAAATGGGTTGTAAGAAAGATGTTACCATCTGGTATGTTCAGTAGTTCATGTGAATGAATTTTTGGCATTGAGCCAGCATTTAGCAGAGAAATGTCTTTTATTCAAAAGTAGTCAGAGGCCAAGATAAGAAGACATAATGTGCCTATAGTGTCCTTAGCAGCACAGCATTCTTTTTGCTAGCTTCAGAGATACTTCAGGAACATGGTCGGTGTTCTCAAGGGAGCTCAAGCTTCCTACAGATCTGGACTTAGTCCTTTTCCAGAGAGCACATAAACAGCTTGCCTGCCTGCCAGCCATATATCTGTGAAGAATAAGAACATAGGCTGGGAACACATGGATGTGCTGAGGATTCTGTTAGCTGTAGCATGGACTTGTGTCCAAGCAACAGGATGATTTTTTTTGTAATGCGTTCCAGAATTGAATTGCAATGTAGTGTAGACTAATGTGAGGGGAGGAAGCCCTCATCTTGGAGGGCCATCCTTGCAAGTATTTTTGGGAACCTACATGATCTGTGTGTTTTCACTTGGATTTCCTTCAGGTGTGGTGAGACAGGTGCAGTGCATTTGTTCAGAACCTTAAATGTCTTCTTTTAAGAAGCCATATTCTGGTCAGAATAAGTTCATATGTTTTCATGAGAAGAAATGTGGGCATTAGAAGAGGCATTAACAAAGCTTCTCATACTTGTTGCATAAAAGTAGTCTTGCTTCAGCTTGCATAGCTTGAATATTATGAGATGTACATTGTGGTTGGACTCAATGATCTTAAAGGTATTTTCCAACCTAAACGATTTTAAGATTCTATGATTATATCTCTTATTCCTTACTTTTAACTATTGTGCCTGAAACACTGCTACAGTGCACGGACATGACTTGGGAGGAAACATGTTTGCATTATTGGCCATGGCAAACTTTGTTTGAAAGCAGTGTTTCAGTCAAGTATTCATAAAACAGTGATTTTTTTTCTTAGGAGGACCTTAGAAGTTTTTCTTGCTTGCTCTTTGAGGTAGTGTCTTGGTTTATGTGCTCCAACTCATATTGTAGGATGAGCTTAGTCCATACATTGTCTTTTAACAAACAACTTCCCCTCCCCAAACACTTACAACTTGAAGACAACTTCAATTAAAAGTAAAAATAAAAAAATCTCCCAAGTCTGTTAGTTTTTCTTATTAAAGCAATTCTTAATCACGAGATTCTGTAGTAAAGCCACTAGATGGAGTTCTGTATGTCATTGATGAGACTACCAAATTGTGCTCTAAAATAACAGGTTTTGCACCTGCCCAAGTCAAAGCTGATTTGCTGCTTGTATTTATTGGTTATTTACTCATAGAAATGCATACATGAAATATTAATTTATGCATAGATTTATATATAGTGTGAATTATAGATAGTTTTATATTTATAATTATATATAAATCATGTGTGTTTATTCTCATGCATCTTAACTTCTCAAACACAGAGGTAATAGTCTGGTAGTTTTGATTCTTTTCTGTTTTAGTGGGATTTTTACTCCCATCTCTTCCCAAACATGTTTCATTTCATAGCAATGCCACCTGACGTGCTTTCAACTGAGATGAGTACTCTCTGTGATCACGTGGAAGCCTGTTACACCATTCTGGGCTTGCTAGCAGACTTCTCCAGGAGTCTTATGGAAAGCTTATGTTGTTGGAAGGTAGCAAGAACAGAAGTTCTGGCTCAAAACTATGGCTTGATGCTGGGACTAGTACACAAAATACTAACATCTGCAAGAAGAGGCAACAGTATTCTGCTTTTCCTCAAACAGTATGAAATCCATGGCAGCATACAGACAACTCCAGAATAAGTGCATCTGGAGTTCCAGAGAGGTTGAAGTTTGGCTTCAAATAGAGAATGTTCAGAAGCTTGCAAATGTACAAAGTATCTAATAGAGAACAGAATGAGGGATAGAGGCAAAGAATTATTGATGCATTGTCTTAATCTTGCTATTATCAGGTTGGTTCTCACCTAGCTATATTCTGATTATTTTTTTTTTTAATTTTTTTTTTTTTTTAAAAGCCAATTCTTAACCTTAGGAAGAAATTGCTCTAATTATTCTTTTTTTTTTTTTCTGGTAGACTTACTTAAATAGTCTCTGCATTTACTACTTAAACTAGTCTCAAATAGTTGCCCCAGTAAGCAGAGTGAAGAGAGGTTTCTCTTCTTGGTGCTTGGTAGTGTAGTTCATTCTCACTTTGGGTATTCTTGCACATAGGGTACCATTAGCTTATTATCTTGCCTCAAATGTTACTGTGTGTACACACACAAATGTCCTCTCCACATGCTGAGCACTCAGCCATGAAAGGACAGGAGAGACCTGTAGAGAAGAGCTTTATTCTTAACTGCCTTTCTGAAGCAGGAGCCTTCCTGACTAACCTTAGTGGACTGCTTGTAGCTTATGGCTGGGAGCTCTGTTAGCCCTCTCTGAAGCTGCCTTTTCCCCCTACAAGCTTTAGTTCCTGATGCCCTTCCTTATGCACTGGTTTGGGGTTTTTTTATTGTGTTTTTTTTTTTTTTCTGTTGTTTATTTGTTTTGGTGTTTTGTTGTGTTGCCTGTGGGGTGTTTTGGTTTTGGTTGTTTTTTTTTTTTTTTTCCTCTTTGGTCACAGCTTTTGGGTTTTTTTTGTTGTTTTTTTTCCGCCTGGGAGATAAGGGCATCTCTGAAGTGCTCAGCTTGCAGGGGTTCCAAGTCTCAACAGAGATCAATTTTGCTTCCAGGAATGCTTACTGAAGGTAGCTGCATTTCTTGGACATAGGCAGCTGGTGAAGTTGATCTGGTTTGGATCATTAGGCATCTCCATCTTCAAAAAAGGAGAAATCTGCTACTCTCCAGTCAGGTCATTGCACTTCAGAGCAGGAGTTCACATTTTCTAGTCAGCAGTGGGAACCACAGAAAAACAGATCTATTATCTTTGGGCGAAAAGGGATCTTTTATATATCCAGCAAAAACTACAGGAAGTGTTTAAAATGCCTTGCTTTGTTTTCCACTATCTTATCTCTTGAACTCTTCCTTCTAATGATTTGGCACAAGGCCACTTAACGCTTCCTATGAATACCTTCTGCTTTTGCCAGCTTCCCCTCCTGTGCCAAATAACTCGTAATCAGGCCTGCACTTTCTTTTGCTGTTTCTGAGTTGTTGGATAAAACTCAAATTATGTTCTAAAAGTTGGGTTTGAGGTGGTGGGTGTTGTGGGTTTTTTTGTGTTTTTTTTTTTTTTTTAGTACATGAGTGGTTTCTTAAACTGAATATCCTAGGAAGAGAAAAAACAGTATTTGGCAAAAAAGCCTCTTCTTTTCCTGACGTCTGAGAGCTTTTTCTGAGGCACCCTTGCAGAGATTCTCCACCTTTGTGCCTAGAACTAACCTGCTGTGAGTTAAGAGGCAACTGTCTGACTTTAAAAGTTGATTCTCAAGGGGTTTTGGTCACCGCCTTTTGAAGGTTTGATGACCTTGACAGCTTCTTGTCAGCTTCTTTATTCCTATCTGAAGATCAGCAGACTGATATGAAACAGACTTGCCTTGCACACTTAGGATTGCAGCTTTTTTAAAATGTTGCTAGTATAAGGTCAACTTCATCTGTGAAGGCACCTTCTCCCTTCCTCTTATGTTTGTGTCTGGACAAACATAATAGGTTAGCAGTTTTTCTGGGACTTTCTGAAAAGTGGAAAGTTGGTTACAAAATATCATCACAAAACTCTTTGGAGTCCCTGTAAGATTTCAGATGCTTCAGATCTGAAAGGAAAGGATGACTAGCCTTCCTTCTACGGCCTTGTTTTTTGGGTGATGACAAACTGCTTCCCTATTTGTGTAATGCTAAATCCAAAATTCTTAATGAGTGTGCATGTGTAGATACACCAATAGTATAACTGTGAACGTTGGGTTTTGTAAGGTGGTTACAGGGTAGGTGAATGTTATTTGTGGTGGATAGGAAACAGTAGTGAGGGAAATCTGCTTTAAAGAACTTACTGTTATAGGCTGAGAGTGCTGAGGTGTGAAATATTTACAATGTATTTTAAATCATCAAGACACATTCTTCATGGGCTGTGAAACAGTTTGGCATTGTGAATAGAATATCAGGTTAGCACTAAGGAGATTGTGGTTGTGTTCCATATTGTTCAATTACCTGTTGGATAACATAGGTGAAGTGTCTTGCCCCTCTGTGTCCTAGTTTCTTTGCATAAAACAAAAAATATTTACAACACATTTTAGATTCTGTGGGAGAACAATACTGCATAAAAGTATTAATTATATGTCAATCAAAATGAAGGAAGAATCTCATTCAGTAGAAATTGGAAAGCTTAACATTTGAAAAATCTGACTTTTAAGTGGTACCAAAACTGCTGCTACTTGAATATTTCACCTTAGTAGTCAAAATGTCTCAAACCAACTCAGTATCTATTTCTTTATGTTCTGGCTTGGTTTTACCACTTGAATCAGTGATTATTATCTAAGATTGGGGGATTGTTATTTTATAATGCTTCGTTTCAACCGCACAAGCCAAATTTAAATATACTAATAGATTCTTGAGTTCAAGGTCGTTGAAAATTTTACTAGAAACTAAAATTTAGAATTAATTTTTCCTGTGATATCTATGAATAAATAGCTCTTTTTCTTTTTCAACAGAAAAAAGACGAGACCCACCAAATGGTAAGCTTTTTATATGAATCACTGCATTTTATTTTTCCCTACTGCTGTCATTTACTGTTTATGTATAGCTTTATTTTGGACTTGTTGGGATAGTCATCTGGTGGCAAAAGCTCAAAACGTTGGTCAAATGTTGTATGTTTGTCAATATTAAGCTTTATTTTGCATGAAGGATTACTTGAATCTATTTGCCTCTCAGGAGTAAATCTCACTGGCATGAAGATACACATTCCTCAGGAGATCCTCTCACAGTTTTGACTTCTTCCATCAGTTTAATGTAGCAATTTAATCCAAGTATTTTTTACTGTCTATTCTAAAATAAAGTGGAAAAACTCATCTCAGTGAATATAAAGTTTAGAGTCTTTGTTGTTCTGAATTCACTCTGAGGTTAAAAAGTGATTTCTCCTGTGATACTTCTGGTGATCCAGATCATAGGTTATCTCACTGTATCTGTTAGTTTGCTGCTTGAGCAGGGGTATAGTCAAGTGATCACCTGAGGTCCCCTTTTTGTGCTCTCATAGTCTTGGTTAGTACAAATTTAAGACTTCCAAGCATCTCGGGAGGTCACCAAAATAGGTAATCCTTAACTAATCCTGAATTATGGGAACTACTGATCTCTTTTATATCCAAATAAAGCCTTTCTCATGTGAAATACTTCTCCAAAAATTATTTTTTCTTTAATATTTTTGAGAAAGTACAGGCAGTGATCAGTTTAGGCCAGGCATTTTTAGCGTCAATTTCTTTTACTGAGACAGAGTTGTTTAGCTTTTGATCAATCATAGTAATGCCACCCATGATCGTCTTACCAGCTTTTCGGAGCTTTCAGAAGGTTTTAACTGCTCTGCCTCTTAGAGTGACATTTGCTTCTGCTCACTTCAACAGCACATCCCTGAGAGCAATGTCTGCAGAGCAGATGGCACTTAAAACAGCAGTGGTGACTGTGTAGTGCCACCTACACAAAAAATTTAGCCTTTGTCTCTACTGTAAATGTGACCAACAGTATCACAGTTTGTCTATTTTGCTATCTGTGATTGAAGAAAGATTTAAGAAAACTAAAACTGCAAAAACTTCTGTTCTTAAAATACTCTCATAATTAATCCTGTAAGATCTTGGGCAACAACCTTTTCTGGAAAAAATATTGCATACTAAGCTTACATTCATTGATCCTATGCCTTTATCTTGAATATTCTGTGGAATACATAGATTTACACCCCCTGGTTCAGGTTTGCAATCACTAGTTAAAGGTCTGAGCATCTCTGCCTTCTTAATAAACTGTTTCACTGGGAGTCCACGTATCCACCTGCCAATCTTCCTTTTCCGATTCTGTCAAATTTTGTAATGCCTGGCTTCTCTGCTGGCAAAGAGTTAGGTGTGTTCATGCACTCTGTATTCATAGGTGAGACATGCTCAGGACATGGGTTATAGCCTCTGCATTTCAGCATTTGGAATTCTGACTAGAGCAGATAAACAATATCAGCACATAACTAGGAAAAAAAAGATGTTGTAATATCAGGTGTTTTTTGTTTTACTCTCCATATATGTTGAAACTCTCGGGGGGGAGGGAGGAATACCTGGGGTTTTTTGTTGTTGTTTTTTTTTTTTTTAATGGGTGTCAATGCGTAGTTACCTTTAAAACAGAAAAACAAGAACAGTCACATTTCTGTACTCACATGATCCATGCTTGAAATACTGTGGGGAATTTTTTTCTAGTGGGGCTTGTTTGTCTGGCTTTCCTGCATATGTTGAAGCTGCATGGAAAATGCACGCTGTCTTTTCGTGTGACGTTTTCAATGGTGCAGATTTAAGGTTTATTTTTTTGGTAGAATTGCAGGATTAAAATCAAATTGGCATTAACAGTTATGTAAAATGTATTAGTCTGTAATTTCCTGGGATTTATGTTCTCCTCATTTGTAATAGTGAGGTCTCTTTATTCAAATAAAGAAGAGTTATTGTAGTTGAACTGACCTCTTATTGAAATTCTGGATGAAACAAGGATTTGTCAGAGAATTAGGTTTTGAGGGAATCTTTAAGAATCATGTGGCAGAATTCTGTTTCAGCTGTTAACTAGAACAGTTTGCAGTTACTGTAGGGCTGTATGTAGTCTGAAACAGATGCCTAGAGAGGTTCTAAATGAAATACAGATCATTTTGTAAAATTTACATTTAAAAATGTTCTGTACTACGTTTTCTGGAGCTCCTTCTGAAGATGTTACAGATATTGATAACAGTGGCTGCTTAAGGCCACTGTACTGTCAGGTGCTCCCTAATGATGAGCTATATATGCCTCTCTCATCTTCATTTATTGAGCTGTCTACACCTGGTGGGGAAGGTGCTTGTCTTATGATGGGAAAAATTTTACTGGATATAAATATGGCAGTTCTAGAAGAGTACAGTTCTTTGCAAGGTTCTTTTATCCCTCGTGGACATCTAAGGTCTAAACCTGACGGTAAGAGAAACTTTAATTTTTTAGAGTTTACTGTGATCTCTTGTATGAATATTGTTAGTATCAAGAAATCAGGCTATCAATCCTTTAGTTGAGCTCAGCTGAATAAAACTTCCATTTGTAAACGGCTGCTGCTTTACATTGATAAAACTGTGTATGGTTAGTTCAGGATTTTACATACAAAAAAAGTGTATTTACAAAAACTGATAGAAATTGTGAGAAGAATATAATGAACTTCCTACTGTTGCAAAGGGGCACGTTTCTTTTTGAATGTCAGTACAGCTGTTGAAACAGTCTGGTCTGCTTTATCTAATGAAATTAAGACTAATTTTAATCCATCCTGAAGATTTTACTTAACTCCACATGTTATGAGTTGATAGTATTTGACTATTAGTGAATTTAATGCTAACTTTAAGTGAAACTTTTAACAATGCAAATTGTTTTACATCGACATGGTCAATCTGTGCTTTGGTATCCTCAACATTTCTAGATCAAAGTATTTCTGCTTAGCAGAAAACACGATAGAAATTCTTCTTCTTGCAGTTTCGATGCTTTGAGACTCCTACAGGAATGTAGGGGTTGTCATATGATTTTCAGTGAGTTTTGTCTAGCTCAGTGTCCTGTTCCTGTTCTTGTTTCTTCTTCAGGCCAGTACTGAGTGCCTCCCACTAAGGTGTTAAACTAAACTTTAGCTGTGTTATCCTTGTATAGTCTGCTTCTCCTTTCTGATGTGGACTTCGGACTCTGAAACCTGAGACTTGTTGATGCTTTCAGAATGCTTAGAGAACTTTGAATTATCCATTCAAAATACAGTCATGAAAAAGGTGTCAAAGAATAAGGTTCAGATCTATCAGAACCTAATTAGAATTTTTTTATTTGCCCCATGAGACTGGATGCACGTGTCCCACTTAGATTTGCTAACCATTGAGCAGTAACTCACAGGCAACTAAAGATGTTTTCAGACTATTTTTGTCCAAAATGGTCTTAAATTGACTGCTTAATCTCATTCTTCCAAAACTGAAATTACTTATACTTTTTGCAGGTTTCTTTAAAAGTATGTGTATACATATGTACACACAACATATATATATACACACAAAAAAATATATATATTTAACAATACATAAATATATGTAAAATGTATAAATTGCCTCTTAGTATTTAAATACTACTATTGCTTGCTTATGTCAAGAGTTACCTTCTGTCAAAGCTAAAAAGTCTGCCTGGAAAACACGTTAGGTATGTTTATTTGCTAGTATTAAACAAGTAACATAATACTAAAATTGGCAGGATTAGAATTCAGATGCATTTTGAATAACTAGAGTAATAATTCAGAATTGCTTATAATGAAGAATGAGGTTTGAGAACGCAGGTCACAATCTGTTTAACTTTTATTCCTGGTGCTGTTCTTACTGTCACTACTCTTCAAGCTCTGTTTCTTATCTGAGACTTAAATTATTTTGCAACACTGTTGAAGAGTAAGTCATCAGTTCCATAGATGGTGTCCTATATTTGAAGACATCAGTGTGTCCAGAGCAGCCTTCTGAAGTCCTTGTATGTTCAGGTTCTGTGTGAGGGCAGAAAGCATTCCCACGGGGGAGTTGCTGAGTGAGGGTTCCCTCTCCTTTGAGATGGGTTTCCTGTGCTGCCCAGGTAATGGCGTGCTGGGTGTCTGTTCATGGCACACGCTTCTTTGATCTTGTCTAGGACTGTAGCTCTGTTGTGCCTTCCTGTGTCTCATTCCATGTCTTCTGTGCACGTGAAGACTCTCTAGTTAAATTGCTTTCTTTGCCAAATTTGGGGGGAAAAAAATCTAGTTCAGAAATTTTTTCTGCCATTGTGCTGCTGTAGGAGATTGGTTTTTATTTTATTTTTTTTTTCAATAAATAACTTATTGTATGCATCTGACATCCAGAACCCAGGTGGGTGCATGTGGCCTATGGCTACAGTACAAGTATTTTACCACTCGGAAAAAAAAAGTTTATACATTAAATATGTCTTTGTTGAAACACAGTAGTAAAAAATCCTGTACTTTACCTTCGCAGGTCCAAATCTACCAATGGCAACTGTTGATATCAAAAACCCAGAAATTACAACTAACAGATTTTATACTCCACAAGTCAACAATATTTCATATACCAAAGAAAAGAAGAAAGGAAAAACTAAAAAGAGAAGATTGACAAAGGCAGATATTGGAACACCGTCTAATTTCCAGTAAGGACTTTTTTCAGTTTGGGTTTTTTTTTTTGTTTTTTTCAGTTTGGGTTTTGGTGGGTGGACTTTCTCATCGTTTTATTTTGTGTGTGTGTCTGTAAAGCTTGCAAATGCTCAGGATTTGGATGTGTGAGTGCTGTGTGTAGCCTGAGCTACTGTGGCCGCTAGCTGGAGCACAGTGGAGTTTAAAAGCAAGTCAGCTTATACACAGGTGAGGAGTTTACTGCAGCTGTAAGGAGAAGTAACTTGCTACCCTAAAATAGTTTAGAAAGCAAATTAGCTGCACAGAGGTGCTTTATTGAAGTTGTCAGCTCAGTGCAGACTCATTCAGCTTCAGTGACCAGCTCTTTACCACTGTGACTCTCACAGCTGTGCCTGCTGGGCTGTGCTTTGTTGTGCAAAACACACTTACAGAAACGACATAGCCGGATTGTGACCTGGCTTTGTGTTTACAAATTTACTCATTCTGTAAGTGGGCTAGTACCCAGATCTGGTGATGACAGCACAGCTTGCATGTCTACAACTCTCAGGAATGGGCTGGGGTTTTTCTGTGGTATGATTCCGTATATATCTTCAGTCTTTTAGGGTAGTTATGATGTATAATTTTAAGCTTCACTTTCATGAGACCTTGTTTTGGCCACTTTACTGAATTAACTGTTGTTTTTTTGAACTATAGTTCAGTGTTTTAATCTTTTGCATTTTAAAATAAGTGTACTTTATTTGCTAAAGCAAGCAGAATTTAAAGAGTTTGAGTTAGTTACAGGAAAGATCAGTGAAGTATTAGAAAACCAGTGTGAGGCTTACATGCCAAGTGAATGAATGCCTTGATCATTACAAAACCATTATTTTGCATCACTTCCACTGACGTGTTTTCCCAGAATAAAACTCTTATATAAAAGTAATGCTGGTATTGCCAGTTACAGTGATGTTGCTGCAGTGTTTTGGGAGAGTGCTCTGTAGAATGGGATAGTGGACACAAAGTAAAGTAAGAGATGGGCTAAAAAACTTTCCTAACCAGACTGTGCTTAGATAATTCAGACAACAAACATGCTCTTTCTGATCTGAGTATCACTGAAGTGCCACATCTATTCATGTCACTTAAAACTGAAAAACACAGAAAAGAAGGAAGAGCAAAACAAAGGAAGAGTAATGGTAGCTGGTCACTGTTGGAGCTGTACTGATGCAGACTTCAGCATACACGGGCAAAATTGCAAATGGTGATCAGAATTTGTGGAAGGGAGTGTGCAGCAGCACAGATGTAAAATAAATTTGATGCTTTGTTTATAATGTCTATCATGTTCTGACCTAGAAGGGTTGAGAATAAGACGATAAAATAGTTAATAAAGTTCAAACAAAAGATACATTCTAGTATCATTAAAGGTAACCTTAAGTTGTAAGTGGTGAGCCTTTGCAAAAAAAGACTGGAAGTGTTTTCTTCAGCTTAAGGTCTAGTTAAGTTTCCTGTAGAGTTCAACAGTGTGTCATCTTACTATGTAAGATACTTTAATTGCTGGTTTCGTACAAACACAGAGGAACTGGTGGTTTGTACAGTTAGACAAATGTGCCCGTAGGATAACTTGTGTATCATTTGAGCTGTGATACTGAGGAACACTGTTACTCTTTGTTTATGCCAGATTGAAGTTGCAATTAGCAGATAAATTTTTAAAGTGCCTTCTGTTAGACGGATGTGGCCATTCAGTGTTCTGAGAAAAACAATCAACCTCTACTTAACCTTAATATAACTTATTGTTGTATACATTAAGTAACATAAGAGTGATGTACTGGTAAGCATACATTTTTATTTAAAACCTCTCTGAAAACAAATGTGTTACAGTCAGTGTGTACAAGTAACTTATTTTACTCTGAGGGATGAAAAATAAATGAGAAATAATGGTAACACTACTCCATATAAACTTTAGTATCAGTTAAATGCACCAAGCTCTCGACTGCATGCTCACAACCCCCTACAAGTTGAGTTGCACAGACGTGCAGAAGTGTCTGGGTAAGATTGTATCGGCTGCTAAGTTTCTGTGGATTTGCATAGGCCACTTAGTACATTACAGTTGGATATGAAACCCTTTATTAGCAAATGCATGTCCAATTTAGGTGAAGCAAACTGTAGCTTAACATCCAGAATTCTGTGATCAATAGAACATCCCATATTTTGGTAGTGAAAGGCATTTAACTGCTTCAGTAGAACGGAGCTTTCCTTCTTTGCCTTTTCTGTAGCATAATGTAATTTTAAACCAGGTCTTTTACTGCTTGCCCCTCAAACTAATCATAGTTACACCAAGACCAAAACTGACCGTTGAGCTTCAGTATTCTCATTAAGAAAACTTGTGTTGTTAGTGGTACCAACAGACCCAAGCAAGAATACAAGGTCTGTTGTGCTAGGCACTGTATAAGGACAGTGAAACAGTCCTTGGGATCTGACAAGCTTAGCCTAAACTGTGATAGCCACTAACAGCTCACCTGGTGTTTTTAAAACTCCTGAATTGCACTTTGTGAAGACTTGGTTGAGTCTCTAGAACTGTCCGTTAGTGAAAAGAAACCCAAAACATGGAGCACTGGTAACATGGTTCTGACTTCTGTAGCCAGCAGCAGCTGCATGAAGTAGCTTGGAGAGCCACAAACTCTTGTGCCTTTTTAGCTGATTATAGCATCATATAAAGTAATACCTTAGCAGCCATGTGAAATAGCTACTAGAAGTCTAGAAAAATGACAGCTGAAAACAGTCCTGAATTTCTTTTGGAAGAAGTGAATGGGAGGAGGGTGATGAGAGAACAAATACTGATGACAGGGAGGAGGAGGTTTTCCAGCTGCGTGACACTTGAAGACCTTGGCAGTAGTTTGAAGTCCCATTACTATATAAAGCCTGAACTCCTCTTTTGATCTCTGTACAGTCTTTCCACCACCATCCATGTGCACTATAGGGTGGCATGGAGCCTTCATGTTTTGCCACAGACCCTCACCTAAAGGGGAAAATTACTTTCCCACTTTGCTTTTGCCACAAGGCAAAAAGTGGGAGTAAAGGAAGTTTTACAATCCCATTCTTAAGTGGGGCACTGAGGAGTAAGAATTGCTTAGTGTCTCAGTGAGACTGGAGGTAGAAGCAAGGAGTAATCTCCAGTTATCTTAGTATCCTGTTACTTCAGTTAACAAGGTCCTTTTTTATGCTGATTAAGTGGACTTTTCTGCTTTTTTTAGACACATTGGACATGTTGGTTGGGATCCAAACACAGGTTTTGATGTAAGTAATTTAATAAGTTACTCAAGACACTGAATGCTTAAAATATTTCAAAGACGGGTATTAAGTAAAAAAGTTAACTGTGTATCAAAGTAGTTATAAATTGTGATTTTATGCTAAAACTTAGAGAGATGCTGGAGTAGAAGGAAACAGGAGGGATGTAAGATTGATGGGAAAAGATGCAAAACTTATGTTTTTGCACGGGGTGGGTGCTTAGTGGTCCTAAAATAGCCCTTTCTGACAGAAGAGCCAGCCCAAAGACATGTACGTGGCTTTCTCTTCCTTTTAACTACATGGTTTATGCTGGGGTTTTTTAGCCCAATGCAAATGATACTTAACAAAAAAAAAAAATCTATTTCAAGGTACTTAAAAGTAATGTGTCTGACTTACAGGTGAACAACTTAGACCCAGAACTGAAAAACCTGTTTGATATGTGTGGAATTTCAGAGGCTCAGCTAAAAGACAAAGAAACTTCAAAGGTCATATATGATTTCATTGAAAAAACAGGAGGTGTGGAAGCAGTTAAAAATGAACTGCGCAGACAAGGTGAGATTCCTTTTACTTCCACATGAAAACTACCAGGGTGTTTTTTGCCGTGAGAATTAGGGTAGAAGCTGTTGATAATGACAGATTTTTTGATTCTCTTCTCTAGACTTCATGTCACTGTAGTTGCACTGGATTTCATAATGCTTCTGTACACCATATCCTATGTAAAAATGTTCGTGCATGACCCAGGAGAGTACTTATTCCCTAAAGAAGAAGAATATTGCCTAAGTCAGTTAAGTAATTTCCAGTAACACTTAGTCTTACTGCAGAGCTATGCACTATGTTCAACATGGATTTTTTCAAACTGTGTATGTTGTGTATTTATTTGTAATCTGAGTCTTACAAATAAATTAAAATCTGAGAAACCAGACTGCTGTGTTCTCAGCTGTTACAGTAGTAGTACGTCTGACAGGTGTGTGTACAGTGACCATTTATCCTGGCAGTACTGTGTAATGAGCCTTGCAACAGTTAAAAGAACTACAGATTTTACATGAAATTTTAAAATATATAGTTCGAAGTAGAAATTACTAATTTTGAGTAGGAAGAAAATTCTCAATTTGAATATGCAAGAAAATTCTCAATTAAGCTGTTTTCTGCCTAACCTTTAAAAGTGATCTCAGATGATGCATTCTCTAATGGAACATAACAAGTCAGTCTGAAAAGTCACACTGCTAATGTCAGACTTTCAAAAAATTGCCTACAACACTTCTCGAGAGAAATAGGATATAAATGCCATCAAAATTGTAGCAGTTTGAAAATAGTGAATAAATTGTTTGAGTGACTGAAGAGGTACAGTTTCAGGGTACAATGACTTGTTACATTTATTCCTTAGGTCCCCCACGGTGGAGTGGTATGTATTTGAGCTGTTATCTAAACATGCTTTAAAGTATACATGTTGCTGTGTGATTTCTTTCCTAGATGAGAAACCTTAGTCCACACCTGTTTGACTGCAATACTAAAAGTTATATTCAAACACCTTAGCTAAATTGCAAGCAAAATTTAAGTTCCAATTTTTTTTCTCAATAAGAAATGTCAGTTTCTTTATATAATCTTAACTCTGTTTAAATGTTTACAGAGTTGTTGATCCCAGACTGCTGACCATAAAATTGGATTAAGACTTGCCTTGGAGTCTTATGATTAGCTTAAAAATGCCTATTTTTCTATTACATGTGTGTTAACTTCACATTATGGCACTTGCATGTATGCAGTGGAAAGAGAAACTACCTCATCTTTTAACATGCATGATAGTCTACCTCTGTGCTTTTTGATAGAATTAGATAAAATATTCCTGTATTTCAGTGGGTTTATCCCATAAACGTAATTTACTTTATTTGATGTGTAGGCTTGACTGCTGTTTGAAGTGTTCTTTCTCAGCTGAAACACAAATTGCAAGAATTTCTGTGCTTACATATTCACCCTGCTCTGATGCTGACTAGAGAGCTGCAGACCCATTGTTCTGCTGAGATAGAACCTACTTTGTTTCTTCTTCCTGCCCTTTCCCTAGTTTTGGTACTGTTGGTTTTTTTAGTGAAAATGCCATCAGTAGATGATTTTACAAACTTTTTTTGTTGATAGGCATGTTCAGATTAATGTGCATTTATAAACAACTAAATTATTTTCTTGCTTTACTTGTACCATCTGTTTCAGGGGGAGGGAGAGAGGGTGAGGTAATGGTGCTCCCTCCTTGCTCTTCATATCATTTCAGTTGACAAGCCTTATAAAAACTCCTCAACTCTGTTTCCACAGGTTGGATCATAGAATCATAAAAATCCTTTAGGTTGGAAGAGACCTTTAAGATCATCAAGTCCAACCATTGAGCCATTAGGGCTCTAAAGTCCTCTGCTAAAACAGATCAGTCGTATTTCTCTAGATACAATGCAAATAAATCCCTTCCCCACAGGAAAACTTAAAACTTGTGTTCAAAATCTACGAGCACTACAGGCTGGACATGGGTAACGTGACCATGTTGTGTGTCTTCTCAGTAATACAGAACTGGCTGTAGTGCTTGACGAGTAAATTAGATTTGAAAATACCGGCCTCTGGTGGCCAGAAAGGAAACTACGGTCACGTCAGCCAAAACGTGCTGGGATTATTTGAAAATCAGAACGTTTACAGTCTCTTGGAAAATATATAAGGTTTGAGAGGCAAATCTCCCCAAGTTGTTTGTTTTGTTTTGTTTTGTTTTTTTAAAGGGGTTGAAAAAAACAGAGCAGTTTGTGGAAGTTCAGAACATAACATGTAACTTCAGGAGGATATGTTTCTCTAAGATCAGCAGGGAAGGACTGTCTCCTACTAGTGTCTCCTGCTTCCTCAAAATCTCTTTTTTAGGGATGTCCCCTCTCTATTCCAGTGCAGACAGCCTGCTTTCTCAGCGTATAACAGGAAGGAGATAATAGAAGAGGTAAAGAAGTCTCTTCTTGAGCATAATACCCTTTTTGTTATCACAGCATATGAAATCAAATGTGAATTTTCTTAGTTGTATGACAGCACCTGGATGATTAAGTAGCTAGGTGCAACAGCCACACAACCTGAAGTTCCATAAACCATTAGATGCTTAATGGAGGAGGGAAATGGAACAGTGCTATTTGAAATGCCATTAGCAGCACAAGTACATTTCAAGGCCACTTCATATAGAAATGATCCTGTGCATTGAGGTAGCCCTAAAGTAATTTCCTTTCTATGGTCCCTATCATAAAAATATTGTTGGAACTAATTGTCAGTAAGAGGGACTTAAGAGTCAGTTTAATGCATCATAATGCATCGGTAGTTACTAGGAGATGTTGCTTAAAAAATATTGGCCTCTATAAATCTCTAACAAATTAATGGGTTGGTTTTTAAAGTGCAAATTCTTTATTTTACTGTGTGTTTTCTAAAACCTCTTTCTTGCCTTCTGTCCTAGCTCAACAAAATTTTAGAGGATTCTTTTGAATTTTTTTCTGCATTTTTTCATGAGAAATTGAAACACTGACTTAAGATACTCTTAAGAAAACTACTGCCATAGGATAAATCAAAATTTATGGCCAAGCTTGTTTTGTGACTTTCGTCTTTTATGTACCGTACTTGCTTAGTGCAGTGTTGATTCTTTTAGGCAATACACAGCAGCCGTAGAGGCTGTGCTCAGCTTGGGCTGCATTCGTATAAGCACAGCCTATGTTCATCTGTATTGAACTTAATCCAGAATTGGTAAGATCTGCACTGGCACAGAGATCCTTGCAAAAGGCAAGGCAAAGCTTTTATTCATTTTCTGCCACTTGCTGACAGACTTACAGGTATTGAATAGTGTGTAACTGTAAGTTGTTTTGTGTCATTTCAGCTCCACCTCCACCACCACCTTGCAGAGGAGGACCCCCTCCACCTCCACCACCACCTCCCCATAGCTCGGGCCCACCTCCTCCCCCTGCTAGGGGCCGAGGGGCACCACCTCCACCTCCTTCAAGAGCTCCCACAGCAGCACCTCCACCCCCACCTCCGTCTAGACCTGGTGCAGCAGTGCCCCCGCCGCCTCCAAACAGGATGTATCCTCCTCCTCCACCAGTGCATTCATCCTCTGCACCTTCCGGCCCCCCTCCTCCGCCACCACCACCTGCAAGTGGCTCCTCTGCTCCTCCGCCGCCTCCTCCTCCTCCACCCCCTCCTGGGCCTCCTCCACCACCAGGCCTTCCTTCAGAGGTCGATCACCAGCTTCCAGTCCCTACAGGAAACAAGGCAGCACTCTTGGATCAAATCAGAGAAGGAGCTCAGTTAAAGAAAGTAGAACAGAACAGTCGACCGGTGTCCTGCTCAGGAAGAGATGCACTGTTAGACCAGATACGACAGGGTATACAGCTGAAATCTGTGAGTAAAAGCTGTTTCTTATCTGTGTCCCCTTGGGACCTGCAAATGGCTGCAGGACTGCAGTGTGAGCAGGAAATGTGGCTCTGCTTTGGGCTGGATCCTAACTATAGAAGTTTGAACCCATGCTTTAAACGGTAGTACTGAGAAAATGCTTAGAACACATTTGCTATGGATGGGTACTGGCACATGAAATTATCCTCGTTTTAGACTCATTTCACACTTCTCAGTAGAGCTTTAAGCATGAATCCTACTACGATGTTGATACCACATCATGTGACTGTAAAGAACTTCTGCAAGAACTAGGAGATATTGTTGGTCTCCTCAACACTTCAGTAAGATCAGATAAACAACTGCAGGGATGAGTTCACCAGCGGTAGTGTAAGGCAAACACTAGATTTGATTTTTATTTTTTCTCCCCATCTTAAAATGGACCTGTGCTCTGCAAATGTTGAAGCTTGTAAGGAGGTGGCTGCCTGTGTCTAGAAAAGTGCTACCTTTGAGGGCTGCCTCTGCCGTTCCTGCTGCAGCTCAGGCTGTTACTATTGCTCTTTCTTCATGACACGTCACTGAGTATCTTGAAATAATGTTTCCTGTAGGTACTTTCAAGGGGTTTTGCCACTTGTCTGCACTTGAGGCTTCTAATGTAAAAAGTATGAGGGCATGTTAGTATTTATTTATCACTACAGATATGCAGTGCCCAAGACTATAACTTTCAGAAGGGATTATCAACCCAAAGTAGACCTGGTTAACAAACCCAAACAAGAAAAAATATTTCTGTGGTACATACCAAGGACAAAATAAAGATTAATGCAGCCACCTAAGTCATGGCTGTACAACCACATTAAGAAGCTTCCATTTAGCTGAGCACTCACTCAATGGTAGAGCTGAAATACTTAGTCTTGAGTGTAGACTGACTACGATTTAGCTGAGCACTCACTCAATGGTAGTCAGAGCTGAAATACTTAGTCTTCAGTGTAGACTGACTACAGTTGTGTTACATAGCAAAAGAGAAAAGGCTGACTTTTTTATAAATAAAAATTCAGCTTGAGCTGAAGAAGCAAACTGCAGTTTCACTCTTCCTTCTAGCTGAAAATAAACTCATTAATCTTCTAAGGAAACTTGTCTCAAAAAACATAGCTTCTGTTTTGCTAATTGCATCTTTTGAATGTATCCTTTTCTCCAAGGTATCTGATGGTCAGGAGAGTGCACCACCTACGCCTGCACCCACCTCAGGAATTGTGGGTGCCTTAATGGAAGTTATGCAGAAAAGGAGCAAAGCCATTCATTCTTCAGGTGTGTCTGATGGAATTTTTCTTACCTCATGGTGTCAGGTTTTCAAGAGTTAATGTTTATATTCAACATAAAATATTTTTGGGAAAAAAGCATCGGTTTCAGCATATAGTCTGATAGGGAATGCACTAGGCAGAAACCTAGTAATGGGTTGAAAGGTTACTTTGTGTTGCTTTCAATTACTGATGTATAGTAGTTTGCAGTAATACTGAATTAAAAATTACTCATCAAGGTTAATATCCTTCTAAAGATATTTATTTACAACTGATTTATTTTTCAATTTCATCCACTAGATGTCTGATGAAATATGTTGTCAAAATATAGCAGAAGGAAGGTTTTTAATGCTTTCAGTTTCTAGAAGCCCAAGGTGTTCAAAAGATTCATGCTCTTTGATTGTGGCTTCTCATGTGCTGTGGATGCCACCTGCTGGATAAGAACCAGATAACTGCTCCTGTATCTAGCACTGGACCAGCTTCTCTCACTTCACTCCTTGGGAAAAATAAGGCTGCAAGAGGATTTGCACTGCTCAGATACCAGCTGGTAGTAAATGCAGTTCAGTAGCTGCAGTGCAGCTGTTTGGTTACAGCTCTTCTGCTTAGACTGTGATATATTTTTCTTCCAGAGCTTGCCTTGTTGCCAAAACTGCGCTTGCAATCTGTAGACCATTCAACCAAGTGCAGTATAGTTTGTTGATTTGCTGCCCTAGGTAGTAATCTCCAGTTGTGGTGCCTACATGAATTAAATACCAGAAGGATGCTAAGTACAGCATTTTCCTAGGGAAGGAAATGGTCTTCCCTAACAAATAAGTAGTTAAATTTTAAAAAGGCTAGAATTTTTAAATTATGATACATATAAAAATGGTGCATGGCTGAATAAAGTTAACAACAAACATTGATGTTGATGTTTGTTGCACAGCTTGGAATATTTCAGTAGCCATAGTGGTCTTTAGCTCATGATTTATTTTTTTACCCTCTTGTACAGTAAACAGAGATCCCATAAACACAAATTGTGTAGTAAACCTGGGCAGGCAGTTCTCATGTTTCAGAAATTAATACGTCCTTGAAATTTAAATCTGGAACAAGATGGCCACTTTCATTCTGTAAGAAACCACAGTGTTAAAAGAGAACTTCTGATTCTTTTTCTCATAGCACATAACAAGATACATTTTTCCTACCTGGGGAAAGGAGTGATAAAGGAAACAAATTAGATTTCACTTTCAGCCAGTATCTATCTCAACCAAATGTCATGGCAATACTCTATTTTAAGATTTCTAGACAAATGAGTTGTTGTGACCTCCTTGAACTGATTGTTCCTTTCCCAGAAAGCTATGGGAGGAATCAGTAACACTTTTGTCATGTTAATTCAGTGCATGCAAGTGACTTGGGTTTTTTTTTTGTCTTACAGATGAAGATGAGGATGAAGATGATGAAGAAGACTTTGAGGATGATGACGAATGGGATGATTGATCATATATTATTATATATATATATTTTTTAAGGTGAATGATATACTAAACACTACTTTCTGTCTATGGATTCTGTAAAATTATCATGTAAATGTTCTACCAATTTGCTGTATATTTTTGTTGCCTTTTGCTTTTTTATTAATCTGTGCAATACCTCATTTAATCTGTAAAGGTTTGTCATAATCCTCTACAAAGCTACTCCCTGTTAATGTGTGCAAGTTTACACCTGGATGATCACGTACATGTGAATACTTTCCATTCCATCAATAAGGGAGTTTAAATGTAATATGTGAGACTGACAAAAACCTTAATGTAATTTAGTTATAATGCAAGAAGGAAAACACTATTTTCATACCCTACTTTTTCTGTATCTAAATTTTCTTATTAAAACCTAGTATAGCACTATGTTCTTTAAGTGATGCAGCTCTTAGTTTATTTAGCCCCTTCATTTCAAACGCAATGCTACCTGAACGTTGAAGCTGGTTTATACTGTTGCATGGTTTCAAACACATGACAACACTGCAGTTCAGACCTTAGCAACACGCTTCACAGGAAACAGACTGCTGCAGACATCCACAGCTAGTTGTGAAGATCACCTTGCCTGAACTGTAGCAGTGCTGCCTGCTATTGAACAGCAGCAGTAGTAATTAAATCCTTCAATTAGGGAACTCTGTCTGAAGTGAAACAGGGTCGCTTTACATTGTAATAGTGGGAGAGGCGTTTTTGATACAGGCAAGTTCAGGGCTGGGTTTTAGGGTTTGGTTTTTTCCTTCCCAGCTCATACTTTCAGAATGGAGAAGTGTAAATTACTGGGGGCTAAACTGGAGGCTGGCAATTGCTACAGTTTGATTTATTTTTAAAATCAATTTTATGTGGTTTTCAGGCTGAAGGGCTGCGTTTCATGCTTGCTTCAATAATGTTTAATTACTTTTTAAAATTTGTAGGACATTGGTGTACTAATAAAGTAAACATAAGTGGTATTACTTTGCAGTCTTTGCGTTGTGGTACACGACAAATGCTGAAACACCAGTCCTACATCCATAAAGTTGGAAAGCCTTTAACTCAGAATATACACTTTGAATAAGTACTGAACTTTATGGCAATATTCTCTCTTTGTGTGTTGGCTTTAAGACCAAGGGTTGTGATGGAGATCAAGAACCCGATTCACAAGAATAATATTTGAGTAAGTCGACGGAAAATGGGATTCTCATTTCACAGCTTGCACATTTATATAAGTTTAGTGCAGTAAACTTTGGCATAGCTGCCTATTACAAAATAATCTATGCTATGTGGGTATTTCATATCTGCAGCGTTAATTGCTGTACTTACTTTAACTTTCAGGTAGAAGATCTGGTTTAAAACCACATTATCTGACATGGAATGTTTAGTTAAGTCAGTCATATTTGGAGCATAGTTAATGCATAGTGTCCTGGGTCTTTGACTGTAGTCAAGATATCAAAGTAAATTTAAGTTATTGGAATGGTATCGACTGAAGCCCAGTGTTGACCTGATCTTGACAGGCTGGACCTGCATGATACGGCTTGGATTTCTAACCCAGTTGTAACCAGTCTTTAGCAAATTAATTTAGTCATATGTGAAGAAAGGAAAGTTGCTGAAAAGTAGTGGGAGAGGTAAGGTTGTAGTTAAATTATTCAGAGGATGCTAACTTCCTTCCAAGAGTAATTTAAGCACATAACTTGAGGAAAAATACTTCTAGGTGCTCTCACTTTCTTGCAGTAACTTTGGCAGTGCTGTCTGCTGCTAGAAGCACTTCCACTGGCTTTGCTGGTGTAGTGACTTGAGCATTGGATCAAGTGCAAATGCAGCCTGGGGTAGCTCATGGCAGTGGAGTTAAGAACTTGTGTGTAAGGAAAATACTTGTATGGCTTTCATGTAACTTCTGGCACTGCTCTCTTGTTTTTTATTGCATATAGGGCATTTTAAAATTAAGCAGATGAGGCCGAGAGGTTTTCCTAACATGCTACTTACTAGATACGTTTAGCTGTTACGTTCCCAGAATTGGAATTTCTGTAATAGAATTAATAATTAAGCATCACGGTTCATTAATCAAACTTCTGTTCCACGGTTTTGGGAGCTCTGAAGTTACCTTATTGAATATAACTTTGATTTGTAGATACTTGCCAAAGAAAGCTTTTGGTTTTTCTTCGTACAAAAAAAATACGCTCACATTCTGTGGTGTCCAGGTTAATATTTACGTTAGTGTTTGTACATGGTAAATTTCAGGCACAAAGACTGCAGTGGCAGTTAAGTTAGTCATAACTGCATGCTTCAGCACTCTGCCACTTGCACTCTGAGCAGAAGATAGCATTTCATGATACTGGTGCATTGTTGCTAAGCATTGTCATGAAGGCCTCTCTTATATATTCTGGTTAAATGACTGTCCAGATAGCCTTAGCAATTAACAAACTAGCATGAGGCTTTTGTATCTCAACACTCTCTGTGCATAGACAATATCAGCTAGCCACTTGTACGTATGAAATCCGTAAGAACTTCTCAATCATTCAGTTTTCCATTTATCAAACTGAAATTTTTAGTATGTGAATTTTTGAAATGTACAGTGAATAGGATGTTGCACTGGTGGCAATTCATCATGGAGCATAATAAAATTAATTTGACCCAACTAGCGTAAAACTGTGTGGTTTTTATGTGCTAATTGTGGCACAGCTTTTAAAATAGATCTGCATATTGATTACACACATGAAAATTAGCTTCAGTTGGCTGGCCAAGTTCACAAAGCAGTAAATAGCCACTGGCACATGGCAGTAGTTGCTGTGTCTCTGGAAAGTTGGATAGTGAGTAAACACAATGAGTAAGTATGTGACACCCCGTCCTCCTGGCAGATCTCACAGCTGCTCAGCAGCTTCTCTGGAAACAGCTACTGCTGCAGGCAACAGCAATAATCCAGCAACAGTTCAAGGTCAAACAAACATGGATTCATTAATAAACGCTCCAGAAGGAGTTAACTCCTGTCAATGAATGCTCTGACTTAAGAGGATTTCAGAGATGTTTGAGCTTGGGACACTTCAGAAGTCAGCTGTCCTCCTCCAGAGCAGCTGAAGAGTCCAGCATCTCAATTTATTTTTTTTTTTTAAAATCTGGTGTACACTTTGTTTTGAAGCCTTAAGTGCAAGGCAGAATCATGGATTCATTAATAAACGCTCCAGAAGGAGTTAACTCCTCTCAATGAATGCTCTGACTTAAGAGGATTTCAGAGATATTTGAGCTTGGGACACTTCAGAAGTCAGCTGTCCTCCTCCAGAGCAGCTGAAGAGTCCAGCATCTCAATTTATTTTTTTTTTTTTAAAATCTGGTGTACACTTTGTTTTGAAGCCTGATTTTTAGGCCTTAAGTGCCAGGCAGAATTGGAATTGTTAACTTACAGGGTGTGCTGAGGCATATTGTTATTTCTTCTGCACGTGGTTCTGAAAGGAGGCTTTTCTTTCAGTTTGGTTTGTTTTTTGACAATGGTTACTTTCCCAAGGAAGATGTACATAAAGAGAAAAGAGGAGGAGAGATCCTGTTAGTTTTAAGACCGTTACCAGTCCATTGCCACAGCCTTTATCTAATCATTAGAGGAATTCCTGGTCCTAACTAAAGTTCCTGAAGCTTAAGTACAGTGATAAGCAGCTTTATTTATAGAAAAGTGAAAATGGTTTAGGGAAGCTGAGAAGATACTAAACTGTCTCTCAAAGGACCAGTGTTATCCTCTAGCACCACAGTAAGGACTCCTGTTGCTATGTATTTGTTTACTGCCTGGAGTTTTCTTGTGAGTGAGAAGGAAGAAAGGGCAGGCTAGTTCTGCTTGAAAAAATAAAGTATTCGTTGTTTGAAATCACAGATTTGAAATTAATTTTTAGAAGGAGAATCGTCACATCAATGTTGAAATATTGTTTTCTGACAAATTTTATTTTATGCTGAATACATACAGTATTGTGCAGTAACCTAAAATGAACTAGAGTAGAAATTTATCAGGTATTCAAACTTTAGTGTTGGGTAATACCTGCAGGACATACCCATTTGTTGATGGCTTAATACACACCTGAAATTGTGAAGCTTGCTGTTTTATATTTACTATGGGGTTTATCTATTAGTACTGACAAATGCACTTGAAGACCTTTTTGCTAGTGCTCTAAAGAGGTTTTTGGAGTCTTTTGGGAGTTAAATTCTTAAGCATTACCTCATGTGTGGTTTTTCCCTCCCTGAAGCTTAATCATCTTTTCTGAGTTTTGTTACCCAAGCAGTATGAATTTTAAACTTGTTACTTACGGATTATATGAGGGGGTGTATGGTTTTCTGAGGAAAAAAGTTCAGAGATGTTTTAAAAAAAATGACAAATTTGAAATCAGCCATAAACCATGTTATATCTGTGTGCCAGCTGGGAACACAATATGATCTGGAGTTTAAAGCTTAAGAAATACGATAATGCTTGTATCATATATCAGACAAAATCTTTGCTTACATGACATCAGCAGCATGCAAAATCAAGAATCTGCTCCTCTGGATGTCAATGCCAAAAAACAGGCAACTGCCAGAGCAGTTGAGCAGGACTGGGAGCTCTTTGTTGATGGGTGGGGCTTTCCCAGATGCTCAGCATAAAACGTACACAGACCGACAGACTGCTAAAAAACCTGCATCTTTTATTTTTTTATCTTCTTTTTTACAAGATGGTATTATAGAATTTTTGTCATTATAGTAGTTTTTTGGACCTAAAGCAGTGCTTATTTCATCATCATCAAGGGAAGAAATGGTCTTCAGCATGTGGAACAGGCATAAACCTGATAAAGTACAAAACTGTCAGCAGAGAATCTGTCTTTATTTTTTCATTCAAAATTAAATTGAAAAAGCAATTTCGACCTCAGTAACATAAAACACGTTTTC